GTGAGGTTCAATTCCCGTAGTCTCTCCTCGTAGCTCATACCTCTCAGCTCGGGTACTAGTCTGGTGGCAAACCTTTGAACCTTTTCCAGTTTAGTCTTATGCTTGACTAGATATGGACTCCATGCTGGAGCCGCATACTCCAGGATTGGTCTGACATATGTGGTATATAATGTTCTGAAAGATTCTTTACACAAGTTTCTAAAGGCCGTTTTTATGTTAGCCAACCTGGCATATGCTGCTGATGTTATCCTCTTGATATGAGCTTCAGGGGACAGGTCTGGTATGGTATCAACCCCCAGGTCTTTCTCTCTCTCTGACTCTTGAAGTATTTCATCTCCCAAGTGATACCTTGTATCTGGTCTCCTGCTTCCTACCCCTATCTTCATTACATTACATTTGCTTGGGTTAAACTCTAACATTCATTTGTTCGACCATTCCTGCAGCTTATCCAGGTCTTCTTGAAGCCTCAAGCTGTCCTTTTCTGTCTTAATCCTTCTCATAATTTTGGCGTCGTCAGCAAACATTGAGAGGAATGAGTCTATACCCTCTGGGAGATCATTTATGTATATCAGAAACAGGATAGGTCCAAGCACAGAGCCCTGTGGGACTCCACTGGTGACTTCATGCCATTCTGAGGTCTCATCCCTCACTATAACTCTCTGCTTCCTATTGCTTAGGTACTCCCTTATCCACTGGAGCGCCCTACCAGTTACTCCTGCCTGTTTCTCCAGCTTATGCATCAACCTTTTATGGGGTACTGTGTCAAAGGCTTTCCGACAGTCCAAAAAAATGCAGTCCGCCCATCCTTCTCTTTCTTGCTTAATCTTTGTCGCCTGATCATAGAATTCTATCAAGCCTGTAAGGCAAGATTTACCCTCCCTGAACCCATGTTGATGGGTTGTCACGAAGTCTCTTCTCTCCAGATGTGTTACTAGGTTTTTTCTCACAATCTTCTCCATCACCTTGCATGGTATACAAGTTAAGGACACTGGCCTGTAGTTCAGTGCCTCTTGTCTGTCACCCTTTTTAAATATTGGTACTACATTAGCAGTCTTCCATACTTCTGGTAGGTCTCCCGTTTCCAGTGACCTACTATACACTATTGAGAGTGGCAAGCAAAGTGCTCCTGCACACTCTTTCAATACCCATGGTGAGATTCCATCTGGCCCAACAGCTTTTCTCACATCCAGCTCCAATAGGTGTCTGGGCCATGAGTCTGGGTCTGGTCCTCTCCATGTGTCTGGGCCTCCATGTGGGTCTCTGTTCCCCCAATCTATCTTTCCATGGTTGAAGTCTTCCATGATTAGTAGCCTGGATCCGTTCCTGCTAGCCACAGAAGCTGCTCTCTCTATTATATTGATGGTGGCCAAGTTGTTTCTATCATATTCCTGTCTGGGTCTTCTGACATTCGGTGGGGGGTTATATATGACTACTACTATAATTTTCTGGCCTCCAGTTGCTATGGTGCCTGATATGTAGTCACTGAAACCTTCACAGTTCTGAATTACCATCTCTTCGAAACTCCAACCTTCTCTTAGTAGCAAAGCTACACCACCTCCTCCTCTCCCTTCTCTCTCTTTCCTCACTACATAGTAGCCCTGTGGAAACACTGCGTTTGTTATGGTGTTTGTTACACACACAGCACCTTGCATGTTTCGTTTGATTTCGTCGCCACAGTTCAGTGACCTACGGCTTCAAAATAATAAAATTAAAAAATCCGTTCTTAAATAAGTAATTTTTATAGCTCTTATTTATGTAATAATTTTGCTGAACTAAATATATAACCCAAAAATATATAATTTGATGTAAATTCAATATTTGAGAGAAATTTATGTTACTGGATCTGGCTTACTCCCTGCACTGTGCAACACGCCTTTAGGCATTCGACAGGTGGTGCGCAATGAGTCTCAGGGATCTTATAGGTATAGCGTACAATTCAAAACTGGCGTGCGGTGACGTGGGTACAAAATGGATTCCTGAGAGCCCCAGTGATCGTCCACCTTTTTTTTTTTTAAATCCCAGCATGCCCCAGGGCCGTGGGGAGCCTCAGTTTCAAGGAAGCAACCTTGTCTGACGCATCGTCTACCAGCTCCCACTCCAAAGTCAGCCTTGGTCATGGAAAACGACTCTGAGGAGGAATTACGCGACATATTGTATGATGATGGAGTGATGGATGATGACTTAGACTACGATCCAGAGAAAGACCTTGCACAGAGATCTGACACGAGTGAAGGGGAGAATGAGGTGGAGGAGGTCGTGAGTGTGTACAGTACATGCGCCTCACCCAGCTTACCTCGCCGCCCTGGGTCAACACCGCTAGAGTCGCCACCACCATGTATGTTCTCTGATGCGAGTTTATTTAGTGATAGTACATGTGATGAATCATTCGCGGGCTTCAGTGACATAGGCTCTGATACAAGCAGTGTTGACGAACCGAGTATGAGCAGCGATGGTGTTACTAGGCATGGTTGTGCCCAGCAACACACCGAGGCAAGTGGCAGTGTGTTACGCGGCCAGAGGACAATGACGACAATGTTCCCTCCACATCAGGTGTTTGTGGTGGGCCTACACTACGCAGAACACTCTCATCTCCTGGTATACCTATACGTAGTGCTGGCACAAGACGATGGAGCTGTGTTTTTGGTGTTTTTGGTGGTGTTGGCTGTGGTGTTGGTGCCAAAACTTAACCCACAGGTGTGCTTGTGTGGGAGGAATGTGAGACTTTTGTCCCACAAATTCCACTATTTGATGGTACCGAAGTTGGTGTTACACTGTTATTTCCCTATACAGATGATGATCTGGCTGAAATTGACTATTTTATAGCATATTTTGATAAGGAATTCATGGACCATCTCGTTGCAGAGACGAACAGATGTTCACAGCCTCATTGACATCGGCATTTTACCTGCCTCTCGCATGACACAATGGAAAGACACGACAAGTGAGGCAATGTATGCTTCAGCTCAGAAGCAGCTGAAGTAAACACAGCAGCAGCGAGCACCAGCAAACTTGATGCAAACATCCAAGAACATAGTGTGTGGAGTGTACAGTTAGAACAAGAGTAAAATTTAAGTACATAGTGTTCAAGTGTTAAAATTAAGGTTGCAGTAATTTTAGTGTACAATAGTTTTCATAAACTGTATTGTAGTACTCAACATACAGCATAGTACGTATTTACTGTACAGTATTCACAACTCCATGAGAATTCAAGATGGACATACTTCCAACAAGAAGGAAAATAAAAACTATAACAGTATTTTTTTAGTAGAGTAGAAATACATAGGTACAGTATATAATATGATAATGCATTTTTATTATATACAAGAAAAAAAAGACACCGACACAAACGCCTCCTGAAGGTCACCTCTTGCAATGAATCCAACCCTGCAACGCACCGGGGTTGGTCCCATATAGTGTGTTGAATGGAGGTTGTACTGTACTTCTGCTCCATTCCGCAAGCTATCTCGTGCATTGTTTCACCTCCGGCCTGCTCATGCGCCGCCTGAGCTGTCCTGGTCGTTGAACCGGGTGCTCTCTTTCCTCTCGTCTCCTTGGTTTGTAGTGGCCCCTTTGGTTCAGGATTGTTTTTCTAAGGCTCTTTTCTTTCCTGTTTGCATTGGCCTCTTGGGGGTCAGGTTGGGGAGCTTCATGCTCTCCTCCGGCGCAGGGGTTTCTGCTCTTTTGGTTCTGGTAGTTAGTTTGTTCATTTGCAGCCATCTCCTTTTCTGGCGAAGAATGAGTCTGCTGCTTTCCGGAGGGGTCCTTGGGTTGTTGATGCTTCATTGGTCAGGCCGAGGGTGCACCGTGTGTTGTGTCTGCTCATGGCTCTCCACTGTTATCTGTGCACCACGGCTTTGGTGGCCGGGGATGCGCTTTGGGTTGACTCGGTTTCCCTTCTTCCCTGTTCCAGGGCGCGGGGTTTCCCAGGTCGTCTGCAGAGTTACCAGGTCTAGCCAGCCTGTGGTCTATTCTCTGCCCATGACATTCGTAAGATTGCTGCTTTGGCTGCCGTCTTCGGGAAAATGTCTTGGGTTGACATTCGGGCACGGGAATTTTGGAGGTCGAACATGGTCCTGGCTGCTTGCTACCGTGTCAATGTTCCTGGACCTTGTAGTGCCTGTGTCGCATTGGGTCGGCAGGTTGCAGCCAGTTATCTCGACTTCAAGTTGAGGAGCAAGGGCCGACCGCCTCCCGGGTAAGTCCCCATTTTTGTTTTTGTCTTTGGGTAGTTAGCTCCGGGGAGCTGACGGGGCTTTCCCCAGAAAACCAGCGTTGAATGTAATGAAACACCATTTTCTGGGTGAGATCCGGAGGCTCCCTCGCAACCCTTCCTCCTTCTGGTCGGTGTTTTTTTAATTTTTTGACATCCAGCCTAAAGAACTGAAGGATGGGTAGCTTGCATGAAGGTCTGGGACTCCCCTTTCCTTTCCTGTGGAGATGGGGGGGAGGGGTTGTGCAGACATTGGCTTGGCAATGTGGTGGCATCACGCCAGTTTGCTTGTTTTCATTTGGGGAGTTCTGTCTACTCGTTCGACTCTTTGTAGCAATGTTTTCACCAGAATAGGGGTTTGTTTGGTGGTGCCTAACCCGGTCGAAGGCAGGCAGAATGCTTTCAACCACACGGAGGTTTCTATAGACCATTGCTTCTCGTGCCTCTCTGAGGGGGCCAGGTTCTGGCTCGTGGTTCCCGGTAGGTCTAGAACTCCATGCACATTGGCTGATGCCAGAAATCAGTCTAGTCCTCGATGTTTTTCGAGTACATATATTTGCTGCATCCTTGAGTAAAATATCGTGTAAGTTATTTTATGACAATTTAATGTATCGTATTTCAAATTAAAATTATTTATAATTCTGTATTGGTTTTGTGAGACAACAGGGAAGGTTTTGAGTGAGGAAAATCTACAAATAGACTTTATAAAATGTTGCTCTGGATTGGTGTTGCATGAATGCAGTTAGACATTTTCTCATAAAGTTCTAATATTTTATTGTCAATTCTACAGGTATTGGTAAAAATGTGCTTATTAGAATAGCACAGAATTCCCCCTCGGCTGTCTCTCCACAGCGTGACAGTGAACTGCTTGCTGCAGCAGGTGCTGCTCAAGTTAGTATGACTTTTTCTTTTGTAGGTTAGTCATATTTAGCAGTGTCACATGCAGTGAGGTGACATTATTGAAATATGCAGTACTGTACTGTATTCAATTTAAGAAAATGCAGTACATGTAGTAATATCGTGTGCAACACTTACTTTCAGTACAGTACTGGGTTTTTACACCTGAACATTGCCCATATTATTCATATAGTTTTTGTTTTCTGGGGGGGGGGGGAGCCCCGTCGGCTCCCTGGAGCTATCCAGGCTGAATGGATATGTATAACTTTCTGGCATCAGTCAATGTGCACGGAGTTCTTGCCTACCGGGGACCATGAACCAGAACCTGGCCCCCTCAAGAGAGGCACAAGGATCAATGGCCTATAGAAACCCCCCGTGTGGTTGGGAGCATTCTTTGTCTGCCATCGACCGGATCTGGCACCCAGGAAGGTAGGCGCCCCAAAACAAACCCCTGTTCTGGTGAAACTATTGCTACCGAAAGCCAAACGAGTGGGCAGAACTCCCCAAACGAAAATTAGCAAATGAGCATGACGTCATTATGTCGCCGCGCTGCTGTCTGCCCAACCCCCCCACCCAACCCAGGAGGGGGAAGGGGTAGCCCCAAACCCCCACGCTGGCAATCCACCCTTCAGTTCTCAGGCTACAACTTTCAGGTCTTTGTGAATTTGTTAGGCCAGTGAGATTTTCATTAGATATTTGTTTAAGTATTCTCTTTGTCACAGCTAATGAAACACCCATATCAAATATCATGAGGAGGCATTCACATATGGAACTAATAGAGCAAGAACTTGGCAATGTGATGTTATAGTGGCCAGAATATGCCTGGGATATAGACGTATCTGGCAGCTTTCTCAAAACCCAAATGTCGAGTACACAATGTGTCAACTTTGTGAAAGAGAAAACATGCACTCCCTTGAACATTATATTGTAGAATGTCCCATATTGACTGACTTTCGCCCTCCTGGACTGAGGTATGCTGAACTCTGTAACTACTATATGAATACTGGAACACTTGATGATATATTGTACTTGTACCCAAGATTGACCATGTAATGTATCAATTACATAATGTATATATGTAAGTGATGTAACTATATAACCTGAGCTTGTAAAAGCATCTTAACACTATCGCTCGCCGTTCGTGCCGCAGAAATGACGTCATGCGCCGTTCGGTGTGGGCGAGCGTGCGGCGACACCGAAAAGTGTATACTTGTTTAAGTTTTCTCACCTTTTTTCTTGTACTACGTCGTTCGTTTTGGTATAATTGTGTTTGCAATAGAATTCGCTACAGAGGTATATGCATATAAGGTCCGTCGTGACTCCCTACAGCAAAGCCTAAAGTCGGCCAAGTTACCCGTGAACGAGCACGAATAGGCACACCTACAAACTAATATATTTAATCGTTCATTTTTAACATAAATTTTTGTTACGTGTTTCATTTTGGTATCAAATTGTTCGCAATATAAAAGTGCGTATTTTAAACTAGTCCCATAGTAATGGAACATAAATGGAATTTTAGCGAATATTTTAAAATTTGGACCACAAAAGTATTTATTATCTTTATGACATTTATTATCTTTCTGACATCAATTTTCGCGTCACGTCCTTATAATAATAATAATAATAATAATTTTTATTTAGGCAAAGGTACATACATAAAGAGATTTTACAAAGTTTGTTGGCTTTATAGATAAGAGCTAGTACATACAATGCCTAAAGCCACTATTACGCAAAGCGTTTCGGGCAGTTTCCTTCATTTTGGTATCAAATTATTTACAATATAAAGGCGCATATTTTAAAACTAGTCCCATGATAATAGAACAATAAATAGAATTTTAACAAATATTTTAACTTTTGGACACTTTTTGAAGGTCATCACCACAAAATTATTTATATCTTTCCAGTGTTCTGACATCAATTTTCATGTTACATCTTTTATTTTGGTATCAAATTGTGCGCAATCTAAAGGTACTCATTTTGAAACCACCCAGAAGTTGATCGGATAAAAATTGAATTTTTACAAATATTTTAATACAGTATCCACTTGATTTAATGGCCCATATGTGTACCCTGGTCGTTATTTCCGGAGCTCCAGTATTTCCGAAGTTAAGTGTCAGTAATTTTTCAAGTAACATTCAGGTAAGATATATTTTATACAGACAGCCACTGGGTCCACCACTCTAATGCCTTCTACCCTGTGACGTCACAGATTCACGGCACATTGTTTTGATTTGTCATGAGGCTGGAGTATTCATTCTGTGACTTTGTTGGACATATCTGCACAATCAAGGAACATCCGTGAACCATGTCGGCTCCAAATGCACTTGTTGTGTCAGTGATGGCTGACTAGTGGGTGGATGGGCAGGCAGGCAGGGATGGAGAGGCTGAAATGTAGGCAGGCAGGTAGGCAGGCAGGGGGAAGCTGGGAGGTAGGAAGGGAGGGAGAGGCGAGGAGGAAGGGAGGCAGGCAGAGCTTGGGAGGGAGGCAGGGAGGGAGACAGGCAGGCAAGCAGAGGCTGGGTGGTAGGCAGGGAGGCAGGTAGGCAGACAAGCAGAGGCTGGGTGGTAGGCAGGGAGGCAGGCAGAGCTTGCGAGGGAGGTAGGCAGGCAGAGGCTGGGTGGTAGGCAGGGAGGGAGGGAGGCAGAGCTTGGGAGGGAGGGAGGGAGGAAGGCAGGCAGAGGCTGGGTATTAGGCAGGGAGGGAGGCAGGCAGAGCTTGCGAGGGAGGTAGGCAGGCAGAGCTTGCGAGGGAGGTAGGCAGGCAGAGCTTGCGAGAGAGGTAGGCAGGCAGAGGCTGGGTGGTAGGCAGGGAGTTTGGAGGGAGGGAGGGAGGAAGCCAGGCAGAGGCTGGGTGTTAGGCAGGGAGGGAGGCAGGCAGAGCTTGGGAGGCAGGCAGGCAGAGGCAGGGTGGTAGGCAGAGAGGGAGGCAGGCAGGCAGAGCTTGGGAGGAAGGCAGGCAGGCAGAGGCTGGGTGGTAGGCAGGGAGGGAGAGGATGGAGATGGATGGTAGGATGGAGATGGATGGATGGATTGATGGATGGATGGATGGATTGATTGAGGGAGGGAGAGAGGGATGGAGCGATGGTTGTTGAGGTGAAGCAGAGAGAGCGTTTGTATGTGATGTATGGGGGGGGGGGAAAGGGGGGGGGTCGGTGGTGGGGAAAGGACCGGCTCGCTGATAAGCCTAACATACTTGACCCAGTTAAACAGATGTTTCTTAATTAAATTCTAGATGTACATCATATATATTTTTGCTTCCAGATTTTGTTTAGTAATAATATTAGGATAATAGAAAGTTATAAAATACTTGTTTCATGAATGCTTTATTGTATTAGATGGAGATTCTCCAGGCTGTCTCTGGCTGACTGGCAGTCTACTGAGCCATTTCCCAGAAGGGTCTTGCGGGGGGGGGGGAGGGGGGGAGGCAGGAAGTGAGGGTGTGGGGGAGACGTTCAGTGAGGGTGAGGGAGGGGATGAAAGGGGTAGGGGACCTGCTTGCCATGTGAAGATCCTCTGATGTCAAGACAAACCCATTACCGACCTTCGGTAATATCGACCGCCAGACCGTTATATGAGGCTCTAAATACTGGTCTCCCAAACTGGTCGTTATTACCGGCAGATCGGTATAAAAGAGGCCGTTAAATTGAGTGGATTACATGAAGCGAGCCATAGTCACTCGCTTCGAATCGGCAAAAAAATGAGTTCCAGCAACAGAGTGTGATAGTGTTAATCACCTTCAGTGGTTAAGTGCTTAACACTATCGCACCCCGGGCGTGCGCGCCGCAAACTTTGACGTCATGCTTCCGCCGGTGCGGGTGAGCGCGCGGCGACACTGAAATGTGTATACTCGTTTCAGTTTTCCCACCTTAATTCTCGTGCTACGTCGTTCGTTTTGGTATCATTGTGTTCGCAATAGAATTCCCTACAGGTGTATATGCATATAATGTCCAAAAACCTGGCCTGACTCCCAACAGCAAAGCCTAAAGTCGGCAAAAGTTACCCGTGAGTGTACAAAATCAGTAAAATGTGTATACTCGTTTTAGTTTTCTCACCTTAATTCTCGTGCTATGTCATTCGTTTTGGTATCATTGTGTTCGCAATTAAATTCCCTACAGGTGTATATGCATATAATGTACAAAAGCCCGGCGTGCCTCCCCGCAGGAAAGCCTAAAGTTATCCATAAACGAGCACCAATTGGCACACTGCAACCTAATGTGTATACTCGTTCAGTTTGATAACGTCAATTTTCGTGCTTTCATTTTGGTATCAAATTGTTCGTAATAAAAAGGCATGTATTTTAAAACTAGTCCCAATTAATAATTAAGCAATAACTGGAATTTTAACAAATACAGTACAACTTCGATTCAACGTACTATATTGGACCAACCCCAGTTCGCTGGAGCGTTGGATTCGTTGCAAGAGGCAACCTTCAGGAGGTGTTTGTGTCAGTGTCTTTTTTTTTTTCTTGTACACAATAAAAATGCATTATCATTTTACATACTGTACCTATATATTACTTCTCTACTAAAAAATACTGTAATTCATAAATTTACCTTATTGTTGAAGTTGTGTCCATCTTGAAGTTTCGTGAAGTTGTGAATGCTCTACAGTAAATACGTACTGCAGTGCATTCTGTCGTTAGCACTGTGTTGATTAAAAGTAGTTCTGCTGTATGTTGAGTACTACAATACAGTTTATGAAAACTATTGTACACTATAATTACTGCAACTTTAATTTTAACACTGTGTACACACTTAAATTTAACACTTGTTCTAACTATTCATGCTGCACACGATGTTTTTAGATGTTTGCATCAGCATTGCTGGTGCTCGCTGCTGCTGTGGGTTCAGCTGCTTCTCGGCTGGTGCTGGCTGCTGTTGTACCAGTGCTGGGTACAACTGTGCTTGTGCTGGGTACGGCTGTTGTACCAGTGCTGAGTACAACTGTGCTCGTGCTGGGTAAGGCTGTTCTCGTGCTGGGTACGGTTGTTCTCG